TTTTTTTTTTTTTGCTAGCGTCCAACGAATGCCACAGAAAAGGCGGACTTCTCTTCCCAACTTGTGTGGCGCCGTATATCAGGGGACGCGTATGTTAATCGCCCGCTGCTAGGAGGCCGGCGTGGGGGTATCTTGCAGTTAAACAATCTTAAATATCACGGACGCCTGCTCCGTGGCGAGCGGCGCGGCATTATTGCCCTGCTGCGCGGTGCTTGCGCCCGGCCGCTGCTCAAAGCGGCACTACCGCCGCCGCCGCGGTGACCGTGGCGAGGACAAGCAGACTGGAGAGAACAGCAACAACAGCACTGCCATCATGGCCGCCTTTTTTGCCGTCCTTGTCAACGTTTTTGCCGTCCTTGTCTGTGGAGCTTGGTTTGCCGAAGCTGCCGCCGTTGGCGGCGATGGTGCACACCTCCTCGTACTTCGGGCACTTGATCTTGCCGCCGTCCTTGAAGTACGCCGACTTCGGCGTGATAAACTTCCCCTCGGGGCACTCCTGCCACGCGTCGCTGCCGAGGTACTTCACCTTCACTTTGCCCGCCTCGCACTGCACCCCTGCACACACCGCGTGCACTTCGGTGTAGTCCTTGTCGGTCGCCTTGCTCCTGGCCTCCAGTGGCTCCGCATCGAGGCACCACGAGCCACGACCGATGATGGACCCGGGGTGGCTGCCGCCGCTTTTTTCGGCGCAAATTACGCCCAACTCCTTGTCAGTTGCCTTAGAAGGACCAACAAGAAAACAGGTTTCCGGTGCTTTCACGCCGCCGCTTGTACCAATATTCGGACCGCACTGCCCGATGGCTTGACGGTTGGACGTGCAGCGAAGTGTTTTGCCTTCGGTCTTGTTATTGCAGAACATGCCGGGGTGCTCGGCGGGGCTTTTGTCTGAGCACGGCTTCTTGAGGAAGTCACAGCCCGCGCCCCTGCCCCACGCCATCGGCTCCTCCATCCCCCACACGGCCTTGTAGTAGCCGAGGTCCTCAAACACCGCCATCGTCAGCGCCGTGTAGTAGCCGGCTGTTATCCCGCCAAGACCGCTCATCAGCTCGTCCTTCGCGTTGCGCGACAACCAGAAAGGTTGCACCGTACCGTAGTCATTCTTCTGCAGCTCCATGCCGGTGAGACTGTCACATTTGTAGTGCTTCCTCATTTCCCTCACCGTACGAGTGGAGTTCACCAACGTCGTGGGGACATCGTTGCCGCGCACACCATGGACTTGCTCCAACATATGCAGTCTTTTCATCTCCTCCACGTTGAAGCCAAGGGCGCGGGCAATTGCGTGCGCCGCAATGCGAGAAGCGGACATGACACGTAGAAGTTGAGAGGGCATGACATGCAGGGCACCGGCAACTGGGCGGCCGTGGTCCCCGGAAGCACACGGGACAGCCCACGTCTCGACGTCGGCTCCGGCAGCCACGTAGAGCACCATGTCCGCATTCGCAATACCCGTCGCTTGATGCACCTGGGAGACTTTGAAGTACTGGCAAAGCCCATGCTTCTCTGTGAACTTGGGCACCTTCAGCGGAGCATTCATGCGTTGGACAAGCAGACGCTCCGCGTGCAGTCGGACTGCCGCAGGGAGGACCTCCTCCACCAGGGTGATGTTCTTATCCACGCTCAGGATGTCATGCAGGGAGCAAACCTCAGTGCTGCCCTTAAAGTCTGACTTCTCCTCCCCTTTTGCCGTGCAGTACTTACTTGCGTCGCTCAGATCCTCCATCGACACCACGATGCGGATGGGCTCCCAGTCCTTGTCCTCGCCCTCTGCGGCGACGGTGTACGCCTGCGTCGCGCCCTCTCCCTTGCGCGGCACCTCACGCACCACTGCGGTCGGCGGCGGGCCGCTCCTCAACGCCGCCTCGTCGAGCGCACGGCGGTGTGCGGCGGCGAGGCACCCACCGACGCAACACGTCGTCAGCAGCAGCAACAGCGGCGGAAGTGCGGCGTGGGTCGGGCGGCGCATCCTGCACTACTCTGTGTCCAGACTTTTTCCCGGCGGTCTTGGAAAAAGTGTCGCGGTGGTATTGTTGTCCTTGGGCTCCTTCCTTACGTGTGCAGTGAAGGCAAAGGAGACGAGCGCAGCCGCTGAGCGTGGGCCAAGCAAAAACACAGCAACGAAAGCAGGACCACCCAGAGAGGAATGCGCGGACAAGTTGCCTCAACGGCGCTCACCTCTGAGAGGCGCGAGAGACGCAGGTGGCGGGGCGGGGAGAGCGCCACCGCGAGCACGCACCCGCCGCAAGGGCCACGCCACCAACGCCCCTCCCCCCTCCCCTGTCTTCCTGTCGCCACCACGGAAAAAATGATAGTCGGATGTGTCCACGGGTCACTCTTTGCTTTTTAGTTTTCTTTGTTGTTCAAGGGGTGGAAGCAAGGGGAGTGATGCTCGTATAAAGTGTGCGTGGATCAGGCACGACGCGAGGGGGCCAAAAAGTGTTCCCACGGGCCACTCTTCAATCCACCTCGGCGACGGCCGCCTCCACGAGTTCCTTTTTGCGCTGCATGTACTCCTTCACCACGAAGGCATCGAGCTGGGCGCCGTTTGCGTTGTCACGCTGCTGCTGCTGCTGCCTCTCTAAAAGCAGTCGGTTGAAGACCTGCTGCAATTCCGGCAGCGACTGTGCCGCTCGCAGCTGCGCAATGCATCTGTACGACTGAAACAGCGCCGCCGTGCGGACCTCACACGAGTGGCGTCCACAAATATCTGGAAGTGCGTCCAAGCCGTGCGTAGGCGCCTTGCGTGCCCGCCACGACGGCGCGGTGGCCACATCTTTTGCGGCGAGAGCATTGCGGAAGAATTGCAGTCCTGTCTTCTTCTCGACTTCGGCCACTGTCACCTGGTAGGCGACAAGCGGCCGCTCGTCCGTGATGGGCTCGTTTGGCATTAGAAACGCTGCGACTTCGTGGGTGCCGTCCGAGCGCTCGCCAAGCAGGACTTTGAAGAGGTGCGTCGGCACAGCCACGTCGTGTTTGCCCACGAGCTCGTAGCAAACCACCTTGCGCGCCTTCTTGACGTCGTCCGGCGCCACCGCCGGGGTGATGGCGGACGTGGAGCGCGACTCCGTCCACCCCCAGGCGCGTGGGTCGCCATAGACGTGGCGTGGGTGAAAAACAGGGCCCGTCACCACCCATAGCCCGCCCTCGTAGCGCCGAAGCAGCTTCTTTGTGAGGTTTTCTAGCCGCAGCCAGTCCACGGCGTTCATCGTCATGTCCTGCGGGACAATGTTGGCGTTCATGTTAAACGTCTCCGCCATCTCCTTCGGGGAGGTCTTGTGGAACTGCGCCGCGGCGAGGTGACCACGACTTAGCCCCCGCGTCGGCCGCAGACGCCGCTCTTCTTCTCTGCCACCGCCGTAGTCGTCTGGCGACACCCGAAACGTCTCCGGGACGGTGGTGTCGGCAAAAAACTTCATGCCCTCCCGCTTTGCCCTGAGGGAGCTCTCGTCGTCCCCCCCGCCGCCGCTGTCGCCGCCCCTCGGCGTGGCCGTCGCGGCGGCGGGGCCCGGGATGTACTCCAAGACCCAATTCGGAATCCGCCTTTCGTAGTTGAGGCTGGCCACGAAGCCGTCGAAGAAGCGCACCCGCTCGTCCGAGGGAAGCCCCTTGCTCACCGTTTTTTGCATGAGCGGGGAGAGCGGCGGCGGCGCGGCATCAACCCCCGCCGCCTCCCGCAGCGGGGAGGGCGCATCGCGTCCCGGTAGCTCGTGTCCCGGCCGCCGCCCGCCGGCACGCTCCGTCATCACCCCCAGCGCCGCCCCAACGAAGGTGGCACTGAGCAACGCAAAGGCGCGCCCCAATGCAGCGGCAGACTTGAACGACGGCGACATTTGTGCAAATTTGCGTCTTCACTCGCGTGACTTTTCCCCGCCGGTCCCTCCTTGTGTGGACGGCCGCCGCTCCCTTTTGCCCGGGCAGGCACCTCTCCCCTCCCCCAGACGCAGGCAACCCACACACGCACACACGGGCGGGGAGTATGAGAGGGAACCGCGTATAAACCCGCAGGAGAGGAGAGGCAGGAGTGTGTGTGTGTGTGTGCGCGCGTGTGGGTCTCTCCCTCTGCCTGTGGGTGGGGTGGGGAGCAGTGCGGACCAGGCGGCGCAGAGGGGGCGGAAAAAGCAGGGCAGAGGCACACACACACAGACGCATTCACACGGGTGTTCAGAAGAAGAGCGAAGGCGGCGTCTGGGCCAGCAAATACAACAGATGCGACGAGTAAGCGTACTGAGAGGGTCACTCGCTAAGAAACACATATACATACACAAACAACTTTCCCCTTCAACATAGGACGAAAGCGGGGGGCGTGCGTGGGGAAAGCTGGAGTGACACTTTACAAGAAAAGGAAAAGGGTTGAAAGTAATACAGTAGGGATACGTGGGGGACTCATTCGTGCCCTTTACGTGTCTTTTTAATGCCCCTGCAAGGCCCAAGCAGAAGCGGCGAGGCAGCGGCCCTCCACTCCCATGCACCTACACACACACACAATGAGAGGGAGAAAAGGAGAAGACTCATTCATGCACTTTCTCCACGCCTCTCTTCCCCTCTCGCTCACACGCGTTGCTTCTGCGCCCATGCAGTCTGGCCGTCTCGCGCTCCTCGCCCACGCACGGGCAAACACCCACATCAATACACCCGCACACACACACACACACACAGAGGGGAGGGGAGGGGGGGGAGTGAGCGCAAGTGATAACTCGCAATAGTTGCAGCGGTATACGGGCAACTATCCACATACAGAATAAAGACAAAAAGAAAAAAGAACGCAAAGCACAGCTACACAAACAGGCCCTGCAGAAGAAGAAGAAAACAGGATACAAAAAACAGCATTCTCACACTTGCATCCCCACGAGTCCTTTTTTCTTTTATTTACTTTTGTATTTCTTCGTCCTTTTTTTTTCTTCTCTCTCTCTCTTCTTTTCTCTTCGCCCTTTCCTTCTCTCTGTTTTTTTTTTTGCTCTAGACATTTGAACATAATGACAATGATGATAGAAGAGAGGACGTTAAACTCTTCTACACGTGTACTTCCCACACCTTTCCGCTCTTTTGCACCTGTTCCCACACGGACAAGTATGTATATATACATATACATATCCCCTGCATGCAAAGTCCGCACTCTTCCCCGCTCACTTCTTGCGTGCCTGCCTATTACTTTTTTTCTTTTTCATCCTCCTCGCCTGCAAGCAAAGGGCGAGTGGCGGGAGGCGCTTGTTGTGCCCCGCGCCGCCGTATTTTCCGCACGCAGGTAACGACAACAGGCGCCGTCCCTCCCACAGAGTAGCAACGGCCGCGTGACGACAGAATCGGCCGGCTGGCACACACACACATACACACACACGCACGTGAAGCGAACCAAAGGCAGCAGAGCTGTTTGCATGGAGGAGGGGAGGGGGTTAGTTGTTGCGGCGAGCGCAGCGTTGCAGGGGACACAGGCAGGACACGATCGGCCCAGGCGGAGCAACGGGCAGGCGCACCGGTGTGCCGCAGTAGCAGCAGCAGCAGTGGTGGTGATGTTAAGAAGCAGGGCGGCACGCAAGCACTTGTACACCCTCCTTCCTCCGCTATATTTTTCTTCTTCTATTTTTTTTGTTGTTACTCCTTCCGTTGTAGTTTTTCTCCGCTACGTACTGCGCGTTTGCTGGAAAAGTTATTCGCGTCTTGTGCCACCTCCCTCCCCGGAATCGGCTCGGCTAAGTACTACTACTGCCTCCACCATCGCAGGGAGGGGGGACCTCTCTCTCGCCGTCCTCGCCGCCGTGATCGGGGTGTTCGCGGCCACTTTACAATACGATACATGCACGTACACCTCGGTGCGGTGAAAATGGCGTTGTGTAGGGCATCCCTTTCCGCATTCTCGCCTTCCCTCGTCGGTTACACCCGGGGGAGGGACGCTGCGTGGCGGCAAACTTAGTATCGCTCCCGCGCCTGCTCCTCATTGTTGGCCTCTAGCGGGTTGCTCGTCTCCAGCTCCTCGTCGTCGTCGAGCGTGCTCTTGAACTTCGGCTGCACGGGCGCCACGACGGTTGCCAACCGCTTCCGCTTTGAGGTGAGGACCACCACCAGCACAATGAGCGCCGTCAGCACCACCGCCGCCACGACCGCCACGCCAATGATGCAGCCGCGGTCGCACGCCGACTTGCCTCGCGACGCGTTTGCCGTTTGGTTGCGGAGCAGTTCCGCCAGCGGTTCCCAGTCGATGCCCTGCAGGCAGCGTGTCACATTGAAGTTGTACTGCTGCGGCACGAACACCTCGTACTCGTTCTGCACGTTGAAGGGCGGGTGCGTGACCACGGTCTCGGTGCGGTTGCTGATGACGGCCCCGCAGGGGTCATTCCCGCCACTCCGCTCAGCAGCAACAGCAGCAACAGCGGCCCTGATCCCAGGAGGCGTGATCGATTTGCACGTTTCCAGTCGTGCATTCACCATGTTTAGAATGAACCACCGCACCTGCGTATCCTGCGCCGGCGTTATCTTCGAGAAGTCATATTGAGAAACGGGAAACACGAGTTGCACCACGTTTGTGCTACCGTACTGCGCACGGAGAATGTCCAGTAGGGCCGCATTCGCGTTCAGGTTCTCCAAGGCGTCGTAGGTGGTGCTGTTGCCGAATGGCACCGGCATAAGCAGCTTCATCCGGGTGACGTTCGCAACGTCTTTGAACATGACCTTCATTGGTGGGTTGGCGTAGATCAGCGGATACGCCAGGGCGCGCCGCACCACGGCAACCAACCCATGCTCCACGATATTCATCAAGGCGGCATTGCAATAGGGCACGATGCTCGTGTCCATGTAGAGCGCCTCGTCTATCGTGTCGTAGTACGTCGCCACCGCCTGCATCACCGCCGCAAAGTCCGTGGCGGCCACCAACCCAGGCGTGGTGGTGTTATCAAAATCTGCCTGTTGCACCATCACTTCGAAGCCGGTGGTCCACGTGGCGTTGTTCACCTGCATGGCGCTTTGAGGCGCGTAGGTGCCGGTGGTGCCCAGGTTTGCGTTGAGTGCCACGTTTATGAGTGCGACGATCGCGGGCATGACGGTCGGCGCGTCGGGGTAGCCCAGCGGGAGTGGCGGGGGCGGCAGCTGCGCCGGGACAATCGCGGGCGGCAGCGTCACCGCCCGCACCGTGTTCAGGCCGGTCGCCAGGTACATTTCATTCTCGGCCACCACGAAGAGGCGCTTGTTCAGGCAGAGCGTGAAGCTGTAGCCGTCCACGGCGGGGGGGCACGTGGCGGAGGCGTTGCCCGCAAACACCTCCGCCGTCATGGCGGAGGCGTTGGGCAGGAGGTGGTAGAGCTGCACGGAGGACGCCGCGTAGAGCGCGCCGGAGGGCAAGCTGAAGACATCGATGTATTTCCCGGGAAGCTGGAAAAGCGCGGTGCCTTGGCCATCAAAGTGGCAGACGCCCACGCCGGAGCCACTGGCGACGAAGACGCCCAGCGCGGTGACGGCGATGCTGTTGTACCTGGGGTAGCCACACACAAAGCCTGTCTGCGGCGCACAATGCGAGGGAGTTCCGTCCGCCTCAAGATTGCAGCTCCACACCTTGTTCTGGGTTTGCTCCGTTATGTACAGCCGATCACCGTAGACCGCCACGTCGGTGAAGGAGACACCGGTAGTTAGCGCAAGGCTGAGGACACTGTTGCTGGTGAAGTAGCGCAGCGTATTTTGGCCCTCCACAAAGTACACAATCGTGTTGTTATTTCGCACGCTGAGCACACACCCCTGCGGGATGTCAATGCGTGCTTTTGCCCACGACCCGTCCACCTCCGCGGCTGTGCCGTTGCCGAGGAGTGTGCCCGTCATACGCGTGCTGCGGGAGTAGTTGCGGAAGAACCCCGGCACACCAATCAGTATCTCGTCCTCGCTGCGGCCCTGGCAGAGCGCCCAGGGCCACGTCAGCAGCGAGGTCCCGGGGCCACCGTCGACGGCCCCAATCGTGCCCGTGACCCCGGACACCGTTTCTACCATGTACCTCAGGGGCATCGCCGCCGCCGTCCTGTGCGTGGCGGCGACCAGCACCGCGGTGGCAATCAAAAGGATCGGAAAGGGAGACACACGCATCGCCGCACGCCAGAGTGAAAAGTATAACTTCTAAATGTTCTACGCGTACTAATTTTCTCTACTTTTGCCCCTCCCCTTTTCTTCCCACCTCAGCCTTGTTGCTTTATATTTATATATATATATATAAATACCTTTTCCGTGTCTGCTGCTCTAACCGCCCCCCCCCACCCCACACACACAGGCGGGCAGGCAGGCAGGCAGGCAGGCAGGCAGGGAGAGCGAGAAAGACAACGAGAGGCAGACAGGCCGTTGGTGGATGGAGCAGAGGCAGAGAAGCCTCAGTTGTGTGCGTGCGGCAACAGGTGCCTGCACGTCCCCGCCCAGCGAGAGAGAGAGAGAGAGAGAGAGAG